CTCTGAGACCTCAGCTGCTGAAAGCAGGTATCTGGGTTTGTTTGGCTTCTATAATTGAAACATTGTTTCTTAGACTGCAGCTCAGAGGCCAGCAGCGGCAGGCAGGGAACCTTGGCTTCCTCCATCACTGGAGCAAGCAAGCTTCCTGTTTGCTTCAGCCGGCCGCCATCTTGGTTGGCAGTTAATTTGCATACCTTGCGGATTAGCCAATGGGAAGGGTAGCAAAGTTACGGTTAATTACCATGTTTCTCTATTATTAGATAGGATAATCTTTTAGGTTCCCACCTACAAGAATCTTGAAACACAGTAATCCTCAGACGTTTCACCTCCTTTCACATCTCAGGGGTGATCAAACTTTAGGGAGAGAAGCATAGAAGTGCAATGTCCTGATATTACAGATGAAGGAACCTTGGCTAAGAGAGGGGCAGGAAGTAGCCCAGGGTCACACAGCAGGTCAGGGACATAGCTGGGGAGAAGTTTCTGGAGCCAGGCCTGGTGAGCTTCCTATCACCAGCTGTCTGTCTATAGCGCTTTTGTGCGGTGGGCTTTCTCCCACCATTTCTCAGAGAGCACCTCCCTCAGACCCAAAACTCACTGAATCAGAGATCGGAAGTCCAGCCACCCCTCACGGCTGTGGTCAGACACCAGGAGCTTGGTTTTCAGAGCGGGACACTCAGAAGCCACCGAGTCCACCTCCGGGGCAAGGTCATCTGTGGTCACGATGCTCTGGGCATTCGACTGCTTTAGTCGGTAGAGAATGTCCTTGGCCTTCATCTGGGTTGTCCCTGGCATGAAGATAATCCCTGGGGATGAGAAAGAAATTGTGTGTTTCATTTCTTTTTTCACAACCATGGGCTTCAGGCCTGGCATATCAGCATAGAAATCCCCTAACCTCTTGGTATGCAAAGACCTGCAGTGCCAGCACCACCGCGCCACACCCCAAAGTTGCTGAATCAGAACCGGCATTTTTAAAAATATATTCATATTTTTAAAAGGAGAGGGAGAGAGAAACATCAATGACGACAGAGAATCATTGATTGGCCGCCTCCTGCACGCCCCCCAACCTGGACTTCCAGTGTTCCCTGACCTGGAATCAAACGGTGATATCCTGATTCACAGGTCAATGCGCAACCACTGAGGAAGCTGCATGGCCAGAACCAGTATTTTAACAGGACCTCCAACTGATTCTGACGCACATTAAAACTTGAAACGCTTGCCCTAACCTGTCTACTCTAGCTGGGTGCAGCCAGTAGACAGGTGGGTCCTACTTTGCAAGAGTTTACATGGGACCTGGGAGCACAGATGCAAGGAGGACAGAGTCTCTGACATCAGGAATAGCTGCATCCCAGCCCCCGCTTTTCTGCTCCCACCCCCTTCACTCATCCCTGTGTCATTGGGAATCCCTTCTTTCCTTCATCCCTCACATCCAAATTAACCACATTGTCCCTTGAACTTTCCTACCCTCCCTCCCATCTGCTGTCGCCAACAATTAGTTCCAGTATCTGTGTGCACCTATTGGATTCTAATCTCCCCACCAGATGCCTTGCCTTGAACTTCTGTGTTAGTTCCCCAGAGCATCGATGCTCCCCCTTCACGTTTCCTCTGGGGAAGACTATAGGGCAATGTAATCCTTACAACCATTTGTAAGCTTCCCACCATAGGAGAACAAATGCTTGCTGGACACCAGGAATCAAACCGTATAAGGATGTGAAGCTGTCCTGAAGACCCCTGATCAGACACGTGCACTCCATCCCCATTCCAAACCCACCAGCTCAGCCCCCAAACCCACTGACAACAAGAGATTCCCACCCGTGACTGGAATAAGGATGAAACTGCAGCTCCGCGGTGCACCATCAGCCCCTTGGCTCAGTGCTGTGCAGCCCTTCCCTTTGGATATACCACCCCCACCCTCCTTTCCTTAAATAAACTCAGTGTTCTTTAATCACTTCTGAGATGGCCATTTAGCCTGCCTGCCCACCACGTTCACCTTCACTTCGCTTCACTAACACCTGTGTCCTCTCTCCAGGAAAACAGCACGCTCCCGATTCTGGCACTGAAGACGCTGCCCACGCTCCAGCTTTCTCTCCCACACCTCTATTCTCTATTTCAAAATGGCCATTCACATGGGTAACTCCTGACTCTAAGCCTTTGCATGTGCTAAGCCCGTTCTTGGAATTCCCTTTCTCTGCTTCTACTCCTCTTCAATTGTACTCATCCCAGAGGGCTCAGCTCACGTCTTAGCTCTACAGATGACACGGCTCCTTTATGCTCCCTCTGCTGTTGCTATTAACATTTGATTCCAGATGACCTTGATGGATAAATCCACTATTTTATGAGGAAAAAAGAGAGAGAATATATGAGAATATATAAGCAAGAGCATGAACAGACTATTGTGTAAACGTGTGATTCAACAGAAATGCTTAAAAAGAAAATCCATGAGTCCAGTCTGATTCTAAATTAGATAGATAGATAGATAGATAGATAGATAGGCAATTAAATGGGAAAGGGCAATTTCTACAGAAGAATGCTAACTAATGAATGTAGAGGGGTGATATAAACAGAAAATCCTCATGTAAAACCACCATAATAATATTTAACTCAGTGAAGAATCATCAGGGGACACTCAAACCACGGGGTGAAAGACAGTGGGGGAGCAGGATAGTCACTAGTCTCATAGGTGTTACCGCACAGACTACTTACTAGTCAGGAAGAGAAAAGGTGCCCTGACAAAGTTGAATACCACCTTTCTATTGAGATGAACAATATCACTGATGGAAGACAAAACAACTGCAGAGACCCCTCATGTGATGCACCGACAAAGACACAACACTGTCCTCCCAGCGTGCCTGCTAAGGTTTTTTAAGATGAATATAATCATGAAGCAAGAGTCAGAAATACCAATTTGGGTGCACCTCCTGCAAAGCAACTGGCATAGACTCTTCAAAAATGTCATTGCCGTGCAGAAAAGGCTAGAGAGCCCTTCTAGATTAAAGGAGACTGAGAAGACATGACACCTAAATGCAATGCATGATCCTCAATTGGATTTTGGACTTAAAGAAAGAAGTGGCTGTCAGGGACGTGATGAAGGCAGTTGGAGACTGTTGACTATGGATAGCTATCAGGTAACATATATTGTACCAATGTCAGACTTCTTGTTTGATAAGCCTGCTCTGGTGATGGTGAAGGAAATGTCTGGGATCCAGGGTTTATGGGTATTTACATGGTATTTATGGGTGTCACAGTGAGTGCAACTGACTCTGTAATAATTCACTGGGGGCTCCAATATGGCAAAAGGTTAACAGTTGATGAATTTCAAAAAAGTAATAATGTCTGAGACTGTGCAAGAGAAAGAGAGAGAGAGAGAGAGAGATTGCGTTTGAGCATATGTGAGGGTGAGGGAGAGCGTGGGGGATAAAAGGTAAAATATGTGAGGGAGTCTGAGAAAGAGAAAGACCGTGAAGAAGAAAGAATGTAGGGAAGAGGAAGCACCTAGTGTTCCAGGACCAGTTGGCTCCAGGACATCCCTAAGGTCTCTACCGGTCTCTGAGTCACTGACCTGTTCGGATGCAGCCCATGGCCACCAGCCACCACTCAGGCACTCGAGGCAGAATCAAGGCGAGACGGTCTCCCTGCTGCAGGCCACAGGTCTGCGTGAAGACGTTGGCTGCGCGGCAGGTGAAGTCTGTCAGCTCTCTGAAACTCCACTTCACTTCATCTCCTTGGCTGTTCACCCACCACAGGGCTGGGTTGGGGCCTCTCTTGCCTTCCTGGTCAAGATCACACACCATGTGTTACTTCCTGCTTCAGAGGAAAAGGGCACTTATTTCCCCAATTCACTGTCACAGTCACATTCCATTTTATTATATTTATTATTATTATTCTTTAATCCTCACTCAAGGATATTTTTCCATTGATTTTTAGAGAGAGTGGAAGAGGGAGGGAAAGACCGAGAAAAATATCAATGTGAGAGAAACACATCGATTGGTTGCCTTCTGTATGGGCCCTGACCAGTACCCGGGCCGGGGAAGAGCCTGCAATCGAGGTACGTGTCCTTGACCAGACTTGAACCTGGGAACCTTTAGTCCATAGGCCGATGCTCTATGCACTGAGCCAAACCAGCTAGGACCTGAGACCTCATTTTAAATCATTTAAAGTGCCAAGAAAAGTTAGGGTGTGATCCAGCCACCTTCCTCTGGTCTACTGTAGCCACCTCCTCTCCAGTCATATGAAACCATGAATAGCTTCATGTCTCCAATTGAAGACTTAAAGCTCCATCCCCACGTGTCTTAGTTCCATGTAGACAGTGCATTCCTCTGTGTACCCCAGCATTCTCATCTACAAAGTGGGGACAATATTACCTAACAGGTCATTAAGTCTAAATGAGTTATTTAATGAGTAAAGTGTACATAACAGTGCCTGGCACAGTAGGTACTCAATAAATATGACTATTATTATAATTACTACACAATAAAAGAGGCTAATTTAGGCTCCGAATATTTTGCAAAATTAATTTTTAAAATTAAGTTGCCTCTAAAGGTAAAATTCATAAGAAACAGACTGGGAAGGTCCAGCCCCTATTCCTTCAGAGAAACATCAAGGAAACAGACTAAAATGGCTTTGTTGGGACTCTTGAAACAGTCAAGGATCTGCAGCAACCAACAAATGCCCTAACAGCTAAAGCCACACTCAGAACGGCAGGGCATGTTGTAATGTTCTGCTCACTTTTGCACCCCTTCTCTGATGTGGTGCCCCAGGTTTGGGAGGAGGTGTTGCCGGAGTCCCAGCTCCTCTTTGGGACAGAAGGAAAAGAGTGAAACTTGTTGGCAACATTCAGTGGGGGGTGAGATGTGGCTGGAAAGGAATTTGTTTATTTATTTATAGATTCCCTAATAAAAAGTAATGGTGAGGATCTTTTTGTATGCTTGTTTGCTGTCTGTGTGACTCACAAGTGAGATGTCTATTCAGAAACTTTTTCCAATTTTCTAAGTGGGTTGTTTCTTTTTTATTGTCCTTTGTATATTTGGGATATAAGTCTTTTTTAATTTTCTTCATATATCTTTATAACTAGAGGCCCGGTGCACGAATTCGTGTACAGGTGGGGTTCCTCGGACTGGCCGGTGATTGGGGCTGATCAGGGCCATCTTGCTCAGTCCCTATCAGGATGATCGGGGATGGTTGGCTGGGAGGGAGGGACCGCAGGAGGTTGGCTGTGGGAGCACACTGACCACCAGAGAGCAGCTCCTGTGTTGAGCATCTGCCCCGTGGTGGTCACGGCATGACATAGCAACTGGTCGACTAATCGTTCTGTCATTCGGTCATGAGGGTCACTTAGGCTTTTATAGATAGATAGATAATAATTATTATTATTATTCAAATTTATCTAGGAATAGGGTTTGTATAAGTAATTGAAGTTAAGTTGTTATTAGTTTAAAATAGATTTCTATAACTTTAAGACATTATATGTAATATACACAGAAGGAAATGAGATGAGAATCAAAACATATGACTATAAAAAAAATCAACCAAACACAAAAGAAAGCGGTAAAAGAGGAAATGAGGGACAAAAACAAAAGCTATGATATCAAGAAAACAATTAACAAAATGGCAGTAATAAGTCCTTCCCTATCAGTAATTACTTTAAACGTAAGAGAACTAAATTTCCTAATCAAAGACAAAGATTGGCAGGATCTAACTATATGCTGTTACAAAATTATAGAATTAATAAAACCATTTGCAATAAAATGCTAACAATATATCAATTTATATAAGCAAAACCATATTTACATTATAATTCAAATGTAATAATAATTATTCACTTACTCATTCAATATTAGTTAGATCTTATTATTTCTTAGGCACTATTCTGAGACCAAAAGGATACCATGGTAAACAAGCCACACATATGTGCCCATATGTAAATGTTTTAAATATTTATGGCCAATTTTCTTGTTTAACTCGACTGTCTTCTTTTCCCCAAGTTTTACATAATGAACATGGTTTTTTAAAAAAGATTTTTTATTCTCAAAACAAAATATGTTCAGAGTAAAAATTCAGGCAATACAGAAACTTATGAGCAAAAAGTTTCTTTCTAAACAAAAGGATTTCTTCAAATTTCTCATCACATTTTTCCTCCCTGAATGTTAGCACTGAAAATAGTTTAGTGTATATTTTTCCAGCAATTTCCCCCTCACAGATGCACAAACATGATCCTTTGACTCAGATGATTGGAACCAAAGAATGTAGCTCATCTGAGATAAGGTTAATATATGTGCATATACATGTGTATCTCTACAACTTTAAAAAATCAGTGCTGTGGAGAATGAGAGAATTGAACCAAGATGGCGGCATAGGTTAACGCCGGAGTTTGCCGCCTCGAACAACCATTTCAAAAGTGAAACTAAAAGACGGAACGGACATCACCCAGACCCACAGGAACGTGGCTGAGTGGAAGTCCTACAACTAGGAGGAAAGAGTAACGCATTCGGACACTCAG